GCTTCTACATTCTACAAACTCTCGGTGGGTGCCCGGGGGAGGGGGGGGGGGGGTGGGCGTGGGGTGGGCAAAGTTTCCCCTGACAGGTCGCCAACCATGGCTGCGAAGACAAGCCCTACGGAGGCTACAGCGAGGAGATGTGTTGAATCGCCCCCGAAGATCTGGGCCCGACTTCATTTCTAGGGTTGGGACAGATGGGATAGATGGCTCCACAAATTTGGGCGCGACCCCATGAACTTGTAATCGGGCAAAAGTGAACCCAGAGTCAAAGCTGTGAAGCCGTGAAGACCGATATGTCGACTACCATGCTCTGTCCGGCTCGAGAGCCGGAAGCCCAGTGAACCCTATGTCCTCGGCTCTACTCTAGGCGCATGTTGAAGGTTGGTTGTCTCGCTGTCCGCCGTAGGCATGAAGCTCTCTCTCCCTCTTCGAAAGACGAACGCATGGCTGCCACAAGATTGTGCGCACCATAACAGGGATCCGGGGTCGTGCGCTCGTCTCAGTGCAATTTACCTCCGAGTTTAGCGGCAGCCTCAGCAATTGAAAGGAGCAGTTCCGGCAAGCATTCCTCCGCGCAGAGTTGCTTGGCCTCGTTTGTTTGCTGTTTGGGCCATGCTCACGACCGAAGTGTACGTCCGACGTGGCACGACCGAAGGGCAACTGAGCTTCTTAGCTCTAGGACGGCTCTCTGCCGAGATGTTGAGACCTCCTTGTTGCCGTCGAAAGACACGCTTCGCTGCTTTGCAGCTCCGAGGAGCGTTTGTGATTCTGTGCGAAGGCTTGGCGAGGCCGGGGCTCAGGCTGCTTTGTGTCTTCGACGGGCACAGGGTCTGAAGGGTCTGAGCATGGCATTATGAATCCAACGTTTTCCGCGTCAGAGGGGATGTCCAAGCTGATTCTTCACGGCGGGGCTTTCCGGACCAGAGCAAGTGTCAAAAAGATCTGCTTGACCCTGAAGGCCGCCCAAGAAGAGACTCTGCAAGAGGAGGGCGCACCCACCGCGGGCTACCCAGGCGGGCCTTAAACGCCAACCCCTGGAAGGTGTCAGTTTTCAGCCTTTCTTTCGGGCTATGAAGAGATCATCTTCGATAATCTTCACGGCGAGGGGGTTGTCAAATTCCATCAGCAGAGGGCTCGAACCGATGGTCAGTCGGAACCAGCCATGACAAAGGAGCCCTGGAGGATCCCTTAAAGGAGCCCTTAAGGAACCCTAAAAACCCCCACGCAAGCAGTCAGCCAAAGCCCTGCGGCGCAGTCGCTTCACTGCCGTCTGCACCAGGGAGGGCTTCCGAGGCCCTGGCCTTAGGAGTGCTTCCTTCCAGCCTGCTTTATCAATACTATGAGTATGCTTCTTATTTTTTTCGTACTATTCTGGTTGCATCCTCAGAAGTCACGGGGCCATTGCCTTTAGAGCCACTCGGGCAGCATGCAGGTCCGTAAGAACTCTGGACTGCACTGCTCAAGCTTTCTTTGGGGACAATCGAAGGACCTACTGCCCAGCAACAAATTGGTTGCTTCGAACATCCCAACTCTCAACGAAAGTCTTCGGGATAAACGTTGGAGAGGTGGACACTCCTGGGATGCTGTGTTGTGGGGTTTGCTGGGTGCAGGCCCTCCATACAGGATACCCTTGGGTGGGCGCTGCAAGGATACTCTGCCGGTATGCTGCGAGTTCTTCTCCTGATGGAGGCAGGAGATGTTCTGCGGTATGATCTGTGTGGACACCACAGGGGATACTCCGGAGGGTGATCTCAAAGGGCACTCGGCGGGGAGCGAGGTGGGAACTGTGGGCTCTCCAAGATACTCTGTGTTGTGTTCTGGAGATGGGCACTCCAGGGTGGGCCTACAGTACTTTCATGGCGAGACTTTGGGGATGAGCACTCCGTGCATACTCCTGAGGGGATGGGCACGACACTCTGCGGCACACTTTGAGGATGGGCAGTCCAGGGATACTCTACGAGGGGAGGGGGAGTACAGGAAGGCCGGAGGATAGCGGCAGCACCCCACATCAAAGGCTGCAGCAGGAGGAGGAGGAGGAGGAGGAGTCGCGCAGTGCCAGGAGCAGAATCAAGGGTAGGAGCATGCTGAGGACCATCCCCTAGCACAAGTGACCTGTATGTGATGTATACGGCTCGGGCTGTTTGACAGGCAAGCTCGCGTGTTGGCTGTCTGGCGCAAGCCTCTAACTGACTCTAACTCTGACTGACCAAGGATGCTCCATGCTCTCATATGTATTTTTCAACAGTGAAGAGGTTGTTGGAATGATCAGATCGTGAGAACCGCACTCGTCAGGCCCCGACTCCCAAGTGGCAGCGAGCCCAGAGAGATGGGGTTCGGAGGTTGGCACTCTGTGCGAAACTGAGAAGTCTGTCGAGCAGTGTTGAAGCTCCTGCTGCAGTTTTGCTGCCTCGAAGGGTCAAAGGGCTCGTATCCGGGCCGCATCGGGGGTTATCAGCAGCCGGCATGCAGCTACTCATTGTTTTCCTGCTTTGCTACCAGCTGGCAGCATACGAGGATGTCCCTGCCTCATGGGAAGATGAAAGGCAGCCGCAGGCTCGCCAGCTGTCCGGCCGCCGCCGCTGGGGCATCGGCTCCTGGGGCGCCAGGCGCCGCTATTCTCCTGCTCCTTATTCTCCTTCTCCGTCTCTTTACTATCCTCCTCACCGCTCTCCTTCTTGGACGGCCCCGACGACGGCGCAGCTCGGTGCCTCGGCGTCGGCGCACCCTCCCCAGCCACGTCGGTGCTCATGTGCCGCTTGGGCTTGGGTCGCCCGCGCCAGTTCGACCGGGACCTGTCAAACGGGTTGACGTGCCAGGCGGCATCTTGCGCGTCCCGGCTGTGGCAGGGGTAGCCTCGGAAGTCGTCGTGGAAGTGCCAGGCGGTTTCGTTGAGATCCTCCTTCTTAAGCTGGTGGACGAGCCAGCAGTGGCAAAAGGAGTGGACGATGTCGATGAGTTGGATGAACTCCCTGCATTTTTGCGGGGCTCACCAGCTCCTGTGGTGGTGCCATTGCCAGGTGGAGTTTTGGAACCACCAGTGGGAAAGCCAGGAGCAACTAATCCTGCTGCACCGTCGCCAACAGCAACGTCAGGCTCACCAGCTCCTGTGGTGGTGCCATTGCCAGGTGCAGGTGGAGTTTTGGTACCGCCAGTGCCAAAGCCAGGAGCAACTAATCCTGCTGCACCATCGCCAACAGCAACGTCAGGCTCACCAGCTCCTGTGGTGGTGCCATTGCCAGGCGCAGGTGGAGTTTTGGTACCGCCAGTGGGAAAGCCAGGAGCAACTAATCCTGCTGCACCATCGCCAACAGCTACACCAGGATTCTTGATGCCGCGTGTGGAAGCCCCAACTCAAGATGACGGCTACCTCATCCTGCACGTGCCAGGAGGAGTTGTCGTGGTACCTGGCCGGCCCAACGTGCCCGATAAGGTAGTCCCTGTGCCAGGTAAAGAGGTTTACATCAAGAAAAAGCAAGAAAAGACACTGCCCCCCATGCCGGACGTTGATACGGAGGAAGCCTCGGATGATAGCTCCGACGGTGGCCATGGTTACGGATACGGCTACGGCGGAAACTCCAACCAAAACCAAGCCGGTTGGCTGCCCGTTAGCTCAGCACTTGCCACAGACCGAAGCAGATGGCCAGGCAAGGAAGGCCGCTGTGAAGTCGTCGGCCCTTGTGTACAAAGCTCCAACTTCCCCTCTGCTTATGCCGACAACGACAGCTGCGAGGTGTTCTTTTCGACGTATCCCTCCTATGTGCGGGTCCAGGCTTTCGCTACACGGGATGAAGGTTCCTCGGCTTACTCCGATCGACTGCGTGTGTCAGGAAAAGAGTACAAGCGGACACAGCTGACCGAGGGCAGAGGTCTTCTCGTCAACGGGAACATCTCATGGAGGGCTGCAAGCAGTGCCGTGGGCAACACAACCGGGTATGGCTGGCAAGTGTGTGTCACGGAGCTCGCATCTTGCGCTGACGGTTTGCCTCTTGAGCCAGTGCCACTGACAGAGTGCCCCGGAGTGCTTGAGTTTATTCCAAGTTGCGACTTCGTGGAGCCGGGTGAACTCTGCGAGGGTATGTTGGACATGGGGGCGGAGGGGTCGCCCGAGACTCCCATCTGCGGTACTAGAAACGATTTGGGCAATTGTCCAAGTCGAAGTGTCTACAGGAAGAGTATGCCGACGACGACGTCTACAAGCATAGCCGTAACAACAACACCCAGCTTTGAGTTTACTGATTCCCCGGTCGGCCTGTGGCAACATGCTGGGCCATGTGAGGTGCGCGACGGATGCTTGCACAGTCCGAATTTCCCAGCTGCCTATGGTGTGAACGAGTCCTGTGTGGCATCAGTGCCGAACTTCTTCGTGGTGAAGGTTGTATCCTTCGCAACAGAGCGCTACGAAGATTTTCTCACCGTGTCTGGCAGGTCTTACAGTGGTCCACAGTGGTTGGGTCCGCAGCTCGTTGTAGTCCACTCCCCAATATTTTGGCATTCTGGCAGCACAGCAGCTGATTCAGATAGAGGTTGGGAACTGTGCATCGAGGATCTGCCTTCGTGCGCAGATGGCTTGGCACTCATGCCGGTCTCCATTCCAGATTGCCCTTTGGGGGCGCAAGCCTTGCCAGACTGTCAGAAGGCTGCTCCGGGCGAGTTTTGCGAGGGTGATGGAAGCTGTGGCACGCGAACTGACATTGACAATTGCTATGACAGCAGCTTCACCCACCCCCCTACACGTGATGTCTACATGAAGTTTGATGGTAGTACACTGACGACGACCACCCTGACCAGCACTGGCACCCGAACAACGACACAAACGACCTCTACTTTGCCCCAAGTACTGATGCAAACAGGGCTTTGGGACCATTCTGGGCCTTGTGCTATCGATTCCGAATCAGGTCTCGAGTGCGTGGGGCCTCCTTCGGACAAAATGCAATCTGGCTTTGAGTGTTTTTTCGAGCCTCCGAACAACAGCATAGTAACTGTAACCAAAATCAGTGCACTGTGCGACCGTGACGGTGATCATCTTTCCATTGACGGTTTGCATTTGAATAAGTCCTCCAGTGGCCAGCTGTTTTTCCCAGCTGGCATCATCCGCTACAGCCCGCATGCCTCACGGCGGAGAGTCTACACACCCAGGATATTGGCACGATTGCCAATTTTGGGCTTGGCACCCTGGCAGATTTGCCTGCATTGGCCGCGTTGTTTTGATGGTCTGCTGTTGACACCTATCCCCAGCGAGGAGTGCATGAGCGTCCCGGACTCACTGCCCAGCTGTCTCGGCTCCGCCCCCGGAGAGCTGTGTCGGGCCGAAGGCGAGTGCCTGACACCCGCCGGCCTTGGCAATTGCGGTGAAGTCAGTGTCTACCGCAAAGAAAACGGCACAACACAAACAAGCACGACAGCAACCAGGACATGGACTACGACAACAGCAGCCGTCCAGAATGCAGACTTCGGATCTTCTGTTTCTGACTTCTTCGTGGTCCTCATCACCATTCTGCTGCTAGCTTCGGCGTGCCTGATTATCTGGTATTGTACCCAAAGAAAAGGGTGGAGGCAGTGACTGGAGCAGACGCGGATGGGGAAGCTGGCCAGCCGCGACTGTGAGCCTGAACGCCAAAGCCGGGGAGTGTTTGGGTGTCTTGGTGGCAGACGACCGTTCTTGGAACTGCGGGCAGAGGTGTCAGTGCATCTGTTCCGCCAATTCGCTGCAGCCTGGCTGCTGGAACTGATGATCTCCGTGTAGCTGGAAGTGGGTAAGTTTAACACACTCGCTATCACTCGCTCGACATGATTTAACACAACCAGCCTTGGTGATTGGTAGCCAGCAGCCACAACCTTGCTGCTATTTAGACGCTGCAAGAGTCAGCAGTTGGATGTTTCAAAAGTGGTGCTTTATGCGGCCGGCACGAAGTACCTCCCAATTGTCCGCAGCTGAGCATAGGCAACAAGCACAAAGCCCTCCACATCCTGAAGGTTCTAAGCCAAGCGCCTCAAGGCCCTCGGTTAGCACATCACTGCGGCACTTTTTCTGCATGCTCTATTTTTCAAGAATGTGAGCAATTCGTTTGCAGCCTCAGCTTGAGTTGAACAGCTACAACCCTTGCTTGATGAAGGGCCCTCGGACCTCAGTCCAGTGGCCCATGTGCGCAAGAGCCGCACTATTTTAATCCCTAAGACGCCAGGCGTTCAGTCCTTCCTCCAAATTCGGGATTGATGCATAGAGGCATAGACCAGGCCGTGCGGGAATGCCTGAAAGAAATTGCGCATGGCCTATGCATGAGCAGAGACAGTCGCGACAAAGTCGAAAAGTTGAATCTCGACGCAGCCTCGCCACACCAGGTTTCGGGCACCCCATGCCGACATCAGCTCTGCCATGCAGAAGGCGACTGGGAGCAGACAGCATTCCATAACTAGTAGAAACAGAACTCGTTGTCGGGCGGGGGAAGGGGGCATGCACATACAGTATTCCTTTAGCAGCGAGGACACGGATCAGAAGAAGAGGCTTCCCTGCTCAGCCAAGACGAAGAGACGAGAGACTGCTTCGCTTGGTTCGACCGTCTTTTGTTGCGCTCATGTTTAATAAATGCAGCCCCTTGCCCTGATCGAAGGTGCTAGCTGCGGAGGGCTTCAGGCATGTGCTCTGTGTCGCTTTGCAGAAATAACTAACCCTAAGGGCCGAGCCAGCTGCAGCACTAGGAACCACAAGAGTAGTCCAAACACACTCAAGCTATCGAAAGTCGGCTTCGGTTCTCGCCGACTCTTTGAAGGACCCACTGAAAAAGTCAGAGTCGCAAGGACAGCTTCGCCAACGATACTCAGATCGACGATGCTGCCTTCATCTCGGACTCCTTGCTCTCGATGGTAGTGCCTGGTCTGAGCTGTCGAAGGGCCTGCCGGCGAAGAGTAAGTGCACCGAGCATATACTAAACTCGTTTGTGGTCATGGGGGGCCGGCTTGAATTGTTGGCTTTGATGTTGTCGCCCTGGTACACCCACGTCCACGTGTATTAGTGCCTTAAAGGGAAAACTCCGGCGAGACGGGAACATGTTTCAGATCCGAGTGGGCAAGTCTTGATCCCGGAACTGCAGAGACTTGCTCAGGATTCTGCTGGAGGCTCCATCGTAGCACCTTGCCAGCGGCAGGGAGCATTCTTGAACATGCTTTTGCATTCGGATCTAGAAGAAGGGTTCGACTTCGACCGTGCGTTCAGTCCCAGCCCCGAGCCCGAACCGCAAGTTGCTTGCGGTCGATGTCACGTAGCACACTTGGGCTTATGGCGAAGGCGAGGTGATGCTTTGGGCTGGAGTAGTTCTCCCAAAGGGTTCATCTCAGTGGACATGTGACAAAACGGCGTCTCATCGCTGTTGAGGTGATCCACATGCCGGAGAGAGGTCCTTGGCCAAGAAAAACGGAGTGCATGTTGCAGTCTGGCCTCGGTTGCGACCCTTTTTTTTTGCGTCTTTCTTTTTTTTCGATCTCTCTCTGAGGCTTCCGGGAGCACAACCTCGAAGCTTTGCGGCTCCTCCTTTCCGGCCGGGCCGGGGCTCGGGCGCGCACACGAAGGATCCTTCAGATCGCCTCTCCCTGGTACCTGGTTCAGGTTCGTCTTTAACTTTATATCGGAATCCCCCACGCCACACCATTCCTCTCGCCTTCGCCGTTTATTTGTCGGAGACTCTTCCGGGTCAGGCTTGCGACAGCGAGACCTTCGGGTCGTGACGCTTTCAGAGCTGAGTCGAGCAGCCAGGCTGGCCAGGGCCTTCGGATTTGACGAAGAATCAGTGTAGTGTAGTATATAAGCGCCATGCTAATCTGCTAGTCCTAATCCAAAGCAACGCCGTGGTGACGTTGGAGAGGGACATCTAGTAGCTGTGCACACATCAGCACTTCCAAAAAGAGACTGCGTCTCACAGCATCCGTGTGAACCCAAGCGCCCCTCGCCTCCAAGCTCCCAAGACATGACGCAGGAGTACACGAGGCCCGTTTTTGGCAAAGCAACGCTCTCTATCACGCGCTCTTAGGGCAGTGTCCTGACCCCAGAGCCACACAGGCGGCAGTCTCAAAGTTCTGACGCCGAGCAGCTCGACCATGCCCAAGGCAGTGACGGCTGATGTACGAGGCGAAGGTGGACGGGGAGACTCTTTGAATTCGGTGTTGCCGTTTGGTGCTGTGGCACGTCCTGTTACGCAGTGGTATGCCCGGGCACTCTTTGTCGGACCTTGTCGCCAGTTCTCGTTGGTGTTTTCATGGGAAGAACACTGGAGCCAATGATGCGTGTTCCGCATGTGCTCGGATGAAGAATCATACACCCAGCAGTAGCAGTATCGATAAAAAGAAGTTTTAATGAAGGCTGGTGTGCCGGCGTCGGCGAACAAGCACAAGCCTGCAACTCTGCCAGCCAGAGTTGCATTTTGGCCGTTTCAAAGCATTCGCTCTTCTGTCTTTTGGCCTTGGATGCCCCGCACTTTGTGCTTCACCGTGCCTTCGCGCTATTGCAACAGCGTACCATGTGTAGCGTATCCATGCGCCGCGGAGAACTACGAGGGGGTTGATCCTTGGGAGAGCATTGCATTCCCCGATGCTCGGGACGCGATGCCAACTAACCAAACTGGCAGCCTCGCACAGCCCAAGCGGAGTTTCAAAGCCTGCGGAGTCTCATATCTGCGCAGCACGGGCACATGGCCCGGGAGAGCATTCGGTTTGAGCTTCTCACTTCCCGTCTAACAGCATGAACTACTTTGCATGTCGTAGCTCGATGTTCTGCAGTTGCTCAAGCCACAGGCCAGTCGCCTGACAGCCCTTTATGTGACTCAAGTTTGGGACCATGTGCTGGGCTTTTAGCTGGATGAGGGATCGCAGCATGCCATGCCAAAGCAAGTCGTGATATATCTCGCGGATTCCAGAACCAGTGCATCTAAAGTATTACCTTCCGGTTGAGCCCATGGAGCCTCCGAAGACAGCCGCTTGCCGGAGCAAATGCTCAGTTGCAGATCATGTTTCACTTCTGGCTGAACCTGATTTGTTTTCAGACTCTTCGGTGACATTGGCAACTTCTTGGAGGGACTTGGTGTGTCTAACGCAAGGAGGCTTGAGGCAAGAACAGGTCTGCGATGCCCTCAGACATCCTTTGCTGCACGCTGGCTACACTGAGCTCGAGACTTTGATGAGTTTGCTGCCTCCGAAGCCGATGTCGCAAGGTGGACACCTTCGAGCGGCAGTTCCATTTCGTTTATGAAGAGGCGCACCTGAAAACGGGCCCGAAAGTCGTATATACCTTTAGAACCCTGCAAAGCCTTAGCGAAGCCTTGCCCAGGTGCCCGTGGCCCTCTACCGCTGCACCAAGACCGGTCTGCGGGTTGTAGCGGCGCAGGCTCGCAAAGACCTCACGAAGTTCAGTCGCTCCAATGCTGCCAAAGGGCCTGCAGTCAGTAGAGCAGGTCGACATGAAGGAATAGGGTGCATGGACTCGAGATGTCGCAATCGGCTTGTCCGACAGAGACTGCCTGCAAGGTGAAGTCGCCCACAGTGCACGGCTACTTCGCGATTCAGACAGACACGTGGATGCAGCAGTGACAGAGCGTGCTCCCAGGACGTGCAACGGGTTCCCAGCTCACCTCTGAGCCGCTGAGGAAGCTTTTGATGACTACGGCTGTCCACATACCCTGGAGCACCTGATCTTCCTGGGCAGTGAGCGGTATCCTTACAAAGGCGCCGAGGGATGTTTTGGAGTCCGGCGGAGTATTTTGCATGCTGACCAAGCCACGCCATCGGAGATAATGCTTTCTGTAAGTCCAGATGTTTTTTGTTCCGGGTGCTAAATTCAGACCATCCCACAATGCGAAGCCATGGCTGCCATAGCTCAATCTACTTCCATGAATGAAAAGCATGTTCACGCGAAGATGTGTCATCTGCAAGTTCCACCACGCCATGCCGCATTGTGTCCCGCAGCAATGGATTGCGGACTGTAGGATATGAGAAGTCGTTGTTGGTCAAGATCAACAGGTCTGACAGTTCAAAGCGGGTTGTTGGGCATCTTCTTTCCAGTTAACAGTTGTCACCTTCGCCACACTGTGCACCTCTTGGCTTTCTTGGCCCTCTGGGGGCTTCCACAGGAACGACACATCAAGTGATGGCTTCAAACCCGTTTGCACAAAATGATAGATCAACCGACATCCTGCGTATGCTGGTAGAGGGTCTCATTTTCAGAGAGCCATCGCAACAACGGCGTGCTCCAAGACTCCGAAGCGAATTTCTCAGATCTTGAATAGGCAAAACAGTGATCCTGGAAGGCAGCTGGAGTTGATTGCAGTGTGACTGGCCACGCTAGAAACCAAAGTCCCCGGTGACCTAGTGGCCTTGCCTGAAGCAAGTTTCAGAAATCAGAGGTGTGTTGGACGTCTTGGCCAACAGATGCCTTGCCCAGGGCACGAATGCATGGACAGCCACGGACCCCCTGCCAGGGAGGGAAATGCTTCGACTCCGCATTGTTTCAAGTTGCCAAAACGTTTCCAGATTTGAAGTTCGGGCTTCTGATGTGCTCGAAGTCAGGGTTGGCGGACATTGCGCTTATTGTAGGGATTGTCCACAGCATCGCATCCGAGGAAGCCTGGACCATGATGGAGATTCCATTTTGAAAGTGCTGTGTCCGATATCTAGAGCTCGAAGATGTATGCCTGTGCAGCCGGTAAGAAACATCGGATTTGCCAAGAAGCCGAAAGCATGACTGGTCTAGGGCCTTGTGAGGTGATTACTCTCAATTCAAAGTACGATGTGGGTTTCGGTTCCTCCCACTCGCTGAATCAGAGTTCATGTGTGTGTGTGTGTAGAGGTGTGTGTGTGTGTAGAGGTGTGTGTGTGTGTGTAGGTGTGTGTGTGTGTGTGTGTAGGTGTGTGTAGGTGT